GAGACAAGGAACACGTCACTGACACGTGAGACACGGAACACGTCACTCACATACGAGATGCCCGCGACCCTTTTCGAGAGGTGGTAGAAGGTGCCGTGGATGTAGAACAGCGCCAGGTGGAGCCGGTGCAGCAGGGGGATGGATTGTTTCAGGACATACACAGCTTGGGAGGCAGTTTTCCTCTGCTGCTCCGGGAGCTGCCCCAGCCGCCTGCGGATCCAGCTGCGCAGGAAGGTCCTGCTGGGCAGTGCCGCTGCTGGGCCGCTCCCGGGGCTCCGGGACTCCTCACCCTCCTCCTGCAGCTCGTGCTCCAGGTGCAGCAGGGCCTTCTCCAGGCAGTAGGGCACCACGGTGTGCAGGGAGATGAAGGCGGCCCGGCGGAGCAGAGAAGGCACCTTCTTCCTGCTGGGGTCGACCTGAATGATGTTCACGTACTCCTCGCCCAGAGTCTGATACCCTGGATAAACGTGCAACAGAGACCAGGGTGAGATGGCAACTGCAGGATCCGCCTGTGGGGACAGGCTGCTCAGCTCACAGCTCAGCAGGCTTTGCACTCGGAGAAATAATTGCATTTTTTCGTGTTGGACAAGTGTTTCGGTTACATCAGCGTCTGCAGCACCGGTATCAGCAGCGGATGGAGGACTAAAGGGGTACCTGTCATGGTGTCAGACAGCCCTTTTGTAAAAAGCTTCTGCTTTCAGAAGAATGTGAATCTGTGCTGATAAAGTGCTGTATTTGAAGCCAAACTTGGACAGTTTAGTGGTTTCATGTTTAATAAAAGGTGTTTAAACAAACCCCCTCATTAAAGAGAACCGTGGAGCAGCCTCAGCAGGTGATCCCCAGCACAGCCGCTGTCACGTATTGGGAGAAACGAGAGAGAAATGATAAAACCTGGTAGCAAAGGTTACCTGAGAGCGTGGTGAGCACGAAATAGGCCACATCGGAGAGCAGCTCCACCTCCCGCCGCCACTGCAGCCACGGCCGGGCACCTGCGGGACGGGGCCGCTGTCACCGCACCCGTGCGACCCGGGCGCTGCACCAGCCCCCTCGCCCCCTCCGCCCCCCCCGGGCATTACCCGCCAGCCCCCGGAGCGCGGTGCCGGCCCCGCTGCGCAGCCCGGCCCGGTACAGCTCGTCCTTCTGCCCGCCCCGCACCAGCCGCGCCGGGCCCGCCATCGCCATCGCCCCCCGCGCGGACGGACACGGCGCGCGGCCCGAGCGGCGGCGGCACCGCGGCACCCCCGGCACGGGCGGAGCGCCCGCGCGCCGCGCAGGGATATCGCGTCACCGCGGCGGCGTGAGGGGGCGGGAAAAGGGCGGGAAAAGGGGAGGGGAAAAGGGAAAAGGGGGAAAGGGGAGGAGAAAAGGTGGGAAAGGGGAGGGGAAAAGGGAAAAGGGGAGGGAAAAAGGGAAAGGGGAGGGGAAAAGGGGAAAAGGGGAGGGGAAAAGGGGAAAAGGGGAGGGGAAAAGGGGGAAGGGGAGGGGAAAAGGGAAAAGGGAGAAAGGGGAGGGAAAAAGGGGGAAAGGGAGGGGAAAAGGGAAAAGGGGAGGGGAAAAGGGGGAAAGGGGAGGGGAAAAGGAGGGGAAAGGGGAGGGAAAAGGGAAAAGGGGGAAAGGGGGGAAAAGGGGAGAGGGGAGGGGAAAAGGGGAGGGGAAAGGGAGGGGAAAAGGGAAAAGGGGAGGGAAAAGGGGGAAAGTGGAGGGAAAAAGGGGAAAAGGGGAGGGGAAAAGGAGGGGAAAGGGGAGGGGAAAAGGGAGGGAAAAAGGGGAGGGGGAAAGGGAAAAGGAAAAGGGAGGGGAAGGGGCACCGGGGCCACCTAACACAGTGCAAGGGCAGTGTGGGGTGTTTGGTGTCTCACAGCACAGCTCCCAAGGGCTCCGGGCGGGCGCAGAACGCCCCGGTCCCGCACGAACAGTCCCGCGGGCAGCGGGTGCGGCACAGACGGCGCTGGGGATGGTCCCCTCCGAGCTGGGGATGGTTCCCTCCGAGCTGGGGATGGTCCCCTCCGAGCTGGGGATGGTTCCCTCCGAGCTGGGGATGGTCCCCTCCGAGCTGGGGATGGTCCCCTCCGAGCTGGGGATGGTTCCCTCCGAGCTGGGGATGGTCCCCTCCGAGCTGTAGGAGCGAGGGAATTAAGGGGAAGCGCTGGGGCCTTTTATGTAGCGCAACAATAGAGGGCGCGCCTGCCTAAGGAAAAACCCCGAGGGAAAGGGGCTCTGGAATGGGACCTTCCCACATTAACTTTTGAGGATCTTCCGCGTCCCAAAGTAAGAGACTTGAAGCTGCCACCCTAAACGACAACATTAAAAACAAACAAACAAACAAAGCAAAATTAAAACTAGTTGACCAATCCTTGAATAATTTCGTTCGGAATTCCAGTTCGTTCCCAGGTGTTTCGGTGTTTGTGGTTTCCACGGTGCCTCTCACGTGTCTCAATTGTTGAGAAAAACACCAAACACGGGAAGAGAGTGATTGAAATTAGAGCACTCGATAACTTTTCTCACCACAAAAATATTGGTTGCTATTTCGACAGGCAGAACAACAAGTGCATCCTGACCACGCTTTCATTTTGCTGCTGACTTATCTTAGGGCTAGATCTGGGTTGTGAACACTTGTTAGAGGAGTCGACCCTTGTGCTTGGTTTAATGTCTCATTTGTTCTCTGTATGAGAGAGAGGTGTTTTATTAAGTGGGCGGGGTACATATTTATTGCTGTTTTATTGAGGTGGGTGAATATTGTGCTCTCATTTCATAGGTCAAGAAAGCAAAGAAGAGCTTGAGAGCTTTTTTTCCAAAACTGAAATCCTGGCTAATGACCAGTTAACTATTAGATTATGAAGCTGAAGATAAGTTCAGGCATCCGAAGGTCAGATCTTCACTCCTTAGAAGTTTGTTATTTGGGGGGGATTGTGTGGTAAATGACACTCTATTTCTTTTTGGTGGAGTTAGTTATTTTTAACAGCACAGTCAAAGTGTGTTTCTGTGCAGACTTAATTTCCATGGGATGCTTCTCTGCTTTTCCTTCTAACAGACCCGACAGGGGAGTGAGTTGCTGCACCGACGTTACCACAAGGAAGTCCAAAATGTAAAACAAACTCTGTGCACAGCAATGATTAACTTTTCCTCCCACAGGCTGCTTGTCTGTGCATTATAAAATATGATTTTACCTCCGCAGACCTGTTAGGAGAGAAGAGGTTCGGAGTGCAGCCTTTCAAACAGGGCAGCAGGCAGATGTTTCAGTTCCCAACCTGAAGAACAGGTTCTGCAGATGGAAAGGGAACGAAACGTCTGTGCAGGATTGTTACCACCCTCCGGTCCCTTCTGCCTCCTCCCACTTTAAACTTGTTACCCTGGAGCTGAACTGTTTGAACAGGGGCTGTAAAGCCGCTTTGTGATCAGAGAGCTGAGAGCCCTCAACATGTAAAACCGGGGCGGGATTTCGCTCCCTCCCCGCAGGTCCCTCCTCCCGTTTGCGTCCCGGGGATGAAGGTCCCGATGTTCCGCGCACAGGAGCCGGGACAGCCCGTCCGCCCAGGAGAGACAGAGGTGTGTGCTTGGGGTTTGCTTGGCTACTTTCTCTTCCAGCGAGCATTTTGGTGTAGTTTTAACACTTTTCCTCACTCTTGGGCGTTAGGATCAAAGTTTCTAAGGGGCTACCGCAGGAGTTGTCCAGCCTTGGGCTTGCAAGAGTTTGCTACTACTTTTGCTTTTGTCTCTCTTTTTTTTTTTTTTTTTTTTTTTAAGGAAGAGAGAGAATGGAAAGAGCATCATGTCTAATGCTTGTTTTATTTCGGTCCTTGGAATTCTGTTAGTCCTAGGTTTTTAGACTCTCTGAACTTGTAGGGATGAAGCAAACTTCATTTGTGATTCAGGTTTAGACTTTTCTAACTGGAGGACTGCTTTTTCTGGTGTGAGAAACCAGTGCATTCACTCTGAAGTGATAACCTGAGCCCTGAGCTTTCACAGGTGTGCTGAGCCAGAACGAAAAGTGACTTGGATAGGAGAGGCTGGATGCAAAAGAAACTTCAGGTATTTAAATAAAATACTGGTTAAGCAATATAACGTGGCTGGTTCTGTGACTGAACAGCAAAGTCTTAACTTGGAAGGAAAGACATGCACAACACTTCGAAAGAGTATGCATTTCTTTTTCTCTTTTTTTTTTGGCATTCTTTTGGGCTATGGAGAAACATTTTTATGGCAGGAAAGAACAGAAAATTCCGGGTTACAGTTGCAGAGATGTGGCAAACAGTGGATGGATGGATGGATTGCCAGTGCTGTGTCTGCTTCCAGTGCCTCGGGCTCCAGAGTTTAGATGTAGGTCTGAAACATACCCCGAATCCTCAGGGTGATAATTTCTACAGTCATGTTTTGTTTCATGGCAGAGGTGGGTTAACTGCTAAAAAATAACCTAGAAGTAAAGTATGATTCACTCCTGACTGTGGTTAGTCTGAGATAGGAAGCTGATGCCATGTTCAGAATGCAGCTCAAAGTTAAGTCGTTTCTTTATTGTTCAAAAGAATGTGGTCAAAGTTTTGTCTATTAAGAGAGCTTTTTCTGTCCTTACTGAGCAGGAAGATACTTCAGCTGGGGAGAATTGTCTTTTGCCCAGTAAGATTAGCTGTGGGGAACAGTTTAGTGCAGATGAAGGACAGGGCTGAGGAAATGTGAGTTATCTCACTGCAGGCCAGGCTGTGGGGGGCTCCTGCCTTCCAAGGACCTCAGTGCCAGTGTGAGGGACAGGGAGGAGTGTTCCTGGGCTCTGAGCTCCTCAGCAGGAGCACTGCCTGGTACAGGCTCTGCTCTGGGGCACTGAGGGCTCACTGTGTAAAGAGCTGAAGGCATGACCAGGTACAGACACGTTTGACACAGCAGAGCAGTTAACAGGGGCTTCTTTATTTAACAAACTCTCCTACCAGAACTACCTCTGTCACAGAGAATATATAAACCTGTATAACTGAACCATGAAACACTAGGGACCTGCTGACTCTTATCTTCAGTGACTGTGTTGGGAAGATGTGCTCCTGTATTTTGATCATTCTTGGCTCAAAAAATCTACCATTCTGATCCTTAGTTTGTCTAATCTTTATGTTAGTCTTGGAAAGTTATTTTTTTTTTGTCCTCCCAGCTTATGGAGATTCTCATCTTATAGAGCCACAAGTCTTCTAGGGCCACAGATACATGGATTTTTTGTTAACTCATGCCTTGTTATTGGTAAGTAAAAAAGACTTTTCAAGGGAATGTCTTGCCTGCAAATTTTGGTGAAAACCATTAAATTTATGCCCTAGAGACCACTGCAAAACTTTCAGTCATGCATTGCTTCTGGTTGCTTTTTGTTCTGGCCTTGCAAAAAAATGATGACAATGTTCTAGTTTATGGCCAAGCTCCTTCTACATTATCTGAAAAGGCTTTTGTTTTTTTCTTTATGTGGCCTTCACCATTTCTGTAATTTAGCTGAATTAAAAGCTACTCCATACTCACCCTAAAGTGTCTGAGAGCACCTTGGTGAATGGTGCTGCAGGAACAATAAAGCAATAAAAAATATAGAGTGTAGGGTTCTGTACTCACAATTTTAGAACACCACAATGTCAGTTTGGTTTTGAAACAAATTGCACAGAGCCCTCAGTACCTAAATATAGTCTGAGGGGCCAAATTGTTGTGAATATCACTGGAGCTTGTTCATTTGTCCAGAGCTGAGAAAATGGCTGTATAAATGAACTTGAGTGGGTATTAGGATGAGGCTGAAGAGATTTTTTGGTAAAGACAGTCTCTCAGTTACTGAGGATCAGCTGAACTGACTGCACCACAATTTTCCTGCACCCAGATATCTCAGTTCTGCGTTGGTTATCTCCAAAATGACCCACTTCTTCCCATGATGAGCTTAAATTAATCTGATCTTACGATTGAAATAGATCCTGGAAGAAGAAAGAATCTTCTTCCCCTTACTTCCATTGTCCTGACCTTCCCTGGGAGTTCAGCTCCCACGGATCCCCCAGGCTCTGTGGATGGTGGCAAACCCTCCCATCCCTCTCTGGGGTAATTCCTGACGGCAGCTGGGGAAGGAGCAGCAGGAACAGGCCAGGTCAGGGGCAGCTGGTGGAGAGGAAAGCTCTGTGTGACAGGAGCCAAGCCCCAAGGGGACAGCTGTTAGTGACCACCTGGGAGAACATCTCAGCCCGGGGTTTGCTGCAAGTCACTGTGGAATTCTGGTCTCCACAG